CTGACTATATGAGCGTTCTCTCAACTGTTAAGCTAGTAGGATTTATTACCGTTATTATCATTATATGTCACGTGATTTGTTTTACTTATGTGTAATGTCTTAAGTATCTTTATTGTAATTTGTATATACCAATTCGTATATACCGAGGAAACGACCCCGATTGAAGGTCATGTATTTTATGACGTCACCAATTCGTGTGTAGGTACTGCTTCTAGATCTGTGCCATTCTAAATACCCTAACTGGAAGCGAAATTACATAAGAGTTCCCACTAGGGTCGATCAAATCGACATTTTCCAACGTCAACCGGAAATATACGCCGCCATCTTGTTCTTGACGTATTTATTAACAAAACGTTGTTTCGTTGCGTAAAACTAGCTTTCGCCAACGTTCCAGTAATGTAGGTTCATTTTTCGACCACAAAAAAAAGTATTTGTCATCGCTAGATTGATCGAGAGATGTTTTAGCTGGTTACAATCATGAAAACTGCAGAACGGTTCTCCGCCATAAATTTGTAGGCGGGTATCGAATCCTCTGTCTATGCGACTTCTCAGGACTGTGGGGGCCGAAGGATCAGCGGAAGAAGGCCAACCTACAGGACTGTACTCAGGACTAAGGCTAAACAACAACATACTACAGTAATTTATGTTCACACAAATGTTCGGACCCAGTTTTACAAGTTTTCGGAATAATAAAGTCGCGTATTTACATACGTGGAGGGCCCAGAATCTACTTAATACTGATAGTACATCAAACTCTGAGATTGTGAATGAACTGGAGAATAGTGAAAAGAGTGCAAGTAGCAACTTCATTTAGACAGACCAATCTTAAAAAGTGAAATTACAAAAGCCATTAGACTTCCTAAAAGTAACAAGGCTTCGGCAGAAGATAGAATTTGCAATAAATTGTTAAAATACGGTGAACATCACTTATTATATGCAATACATAAACTCTTTAATATTGTTTATAGGTCAAATAACTATCCACATTCTTGGTCTGTTGGTACCATGTAATCCAAAAATTGGGTCCAAAAATAACACAGTCAACTGCAGGGAAATTGCCATCTCTAGCTGTCTTGGCAAGTTATTCAATAGCATCCTGAATATTAGGTTGACATCTTTTTTAGATTCAACTAGTAGCTTCGCGATAATTGGCTTTTGCGGTAAGTGGGTTTCGTATCGGCTGGCTTTCATGGGGATTAGGGCTTTGTTGCAGTAACTGGTCCTTTCATTGTCGTTGAGAATTAAAGTTTTATGTTTTTTTAACAACTGGCGCTATTCTGGGAATACCATGCTTAGAAGCTATTAATTTACCCTTATGATTTTTGCAGTTGCTCTGGTCCAAAATAAGACTCGTGCTCTGATAATGCCCCTAGTTTCTAAGATCAATAAACATTTGACCATTTATAATAGACTTTGCATCATGTATTTTTTTTTATAAAAGTTGCTTATTGACATACTGTAATTAATGATCTTATTGACATTGCAAAGAACAGTTGAACATTGTTTAATAAAATTAATAATCCCCCATAACAATTTTCAAATATAGATAAATTATAGTACGAAACAAATGTATAACTCAGTCTCAACAATGAAATAAAGAAATGTATATATATTTACATTATTACTAATGCATTGCAATACAACTAATTAAAATTGAAAGAAATTGCAATATATAATATTCTGACACTAACACTTCTCAAGGGCGGATTTCGTGGTCAGTGTTATTTATAAAATTATTTGTTCACAATTTTATAAACTGGCTTGGCAATTCCCAATCCAATTAGATATAATGTGTGCATATTTTAATAAATAAAAATACACTAACAAAAATAAAATATTAATTATTTCACAATTTATTTTATAACCTAGACAAAAAAAATCAATATTTTTCCATGCATTTTCTCTGTCTGTGTAACTTCATGCAGAAATTCTAATAAAGTTCACAACTGGAGATTTAGCAATTTTAGGGATTGTCAACGGATTATAAGATGGTTATGTGAATTTTGTTCATTAATGAAATACTGTGTTGATGACTCTATCTTCAGGGCCTAACTGATTAAGACCCATGCTCTGATAATGTCCCTAGATTCTAAGACAAATAAACATTGAATGGGCTTTGCATCATGTATTTTTTATACTGCTTAGTGACATTTCCCAGTACTGGAATTATTTGTAAGCATAAGATTGTATTATGAATTTCGTTCATTAATGGAATAATGTGTCATGAATTAATGATACTTGGAAACAGTGTGATTTTTAGTGCCGTATGTATATAGGGTATTTATATTGAGTTTCTGCTCTTTAAAAGGGGTATAATTTCACAATTTCACAAAAATAAGTACATGTTTAGAAGCTTTTTTGAAAATCTATACTTCAGCATGGGTACCAGGTCTGACTTGGAGTAACAGCGATATGATTTTACATTGCCTGGAAATGAACACTAAATACAGCTATCCCGGCCAGCAATCGAATCATCAATCTTCATGATTAATGCAACTGGTATTTCCATCTATTTGCTTAGTGGTCTGAAAGTGAATGTTGTCAAGTTTGAGGGTGTGTTTTTATGTACAGTGTCTTGAACATTCAATAATGCATTGAACAGAAGGTCCATGAGTACAGGAGATGTTTCAGTAACTTAAGAATTGTTATGCATATCAAAATTCTTTATTGGAACAGAACATGTTATATATTTACCAAACTACAACGTTGCCATATTTCTAAGCATACAGCGAATTGGAAACAAATGAAATAGCCGATCCTTTGCCTTTTGAGTGAAAAAACATTGAGACCAAAATAAGTATAGGTTAAATTTTAGAGGCGTCTGGGGAACCAAAATTTGGGACGTTAATCACCCCGGCGACGAAAAATCAGTGATACCTGTACTAACCACAGTCCTTTTAATAACCAAGGTGTGAGAGACTATTTACCTCAATGATAGCTATGGTAATTGCGACCCAATCCGAAAAACACATTGACCAGTGAGGACCAAAACACATTGACCAGTGAGGACCAAAACACATTGACCAGTGAGGACCAAAATGACACAAAACATTGTAAATTATGATGGAGGACATGGATTCATTCTTATTACTCCCGGGAACAATTCTTTATGGTGTTATGGTATTCACTCTGGCGTGAGAAAACGGAAAAGTCAAAGATAATTAAAAATGGCGACAACGGTCAAAAGACCGTTATGCTAATTAGCTTTTTCAACGACTACGTTTTTCTCAGCGATAGCTACATGAATTTGAACCAAAACGTTATCGACAAGACTTAGAGGATGATTGTTATCATTATGAACCACCAAGCTCAATTTTGGTGCAACTATGAAGTGCAATTTTCAATTTGGCTAAAATAAAACAATTGTTGGACAGAATAAAGACATTTATACTGCTAATAATCCTGCTAAACAAGATAATAGTAATATGCCCTCCAAGAAATGTCAATTACACAAATGTAGTATACTGATGATTATTTTTACATTATGTAGTATAGATTACAAAAGTGACAATAACAGTCTGTTTTTCCCTGCTAAATCTGGCTAGCCAGATTTTTCTTATATATATATATATCACTGTACTATTATGTAGGAACTTTTATACAATTCCTGTTTATTATTTCATAAGGGACATTGAGATTAATACAGTACATGTACCGTAGTATTATCTGAGGAACATTAATATTATTTTTTTTTATATAATTATGATGACTTCATTGTTCTTGTCCATTTTTTGTCAGAATTGTTCTCACCTAAATTGTAGCCAGTATTTGCTAAGCAAAATATTTAGATAAATTATTGCATTGTTATAGGACTTTCATCCTCACTTTTCCATGTAAAGAATGGATTGTGTATTGTTAGTTTGTTTTCATTAATCCATTTGTTTTTTTAATCTACATTCCCAATGGTTAAATTTTCTAATACATGTTATTTGTTTTTTTGAAAACCGGGAATTCACTAGAACATGATTTTTAGCTTTCATTATTGAGTCGCTGCTGGATCACTCTGAATATATCCATCATGTTGTATCACAGAATATTTATACTTTAATCCCTACTTTTTTTAATTGTCCCACAGCTTTGCTAATATTGTTCATATGTTATGCAAGAAATCACTTCCAACATGGCTATTCACACCTGGGTATGGCTTGCACACTATCCACCAGAAAACCATGGCCCACCCTCTAAGTAAGACTATGACCCCATCCCACATCAAGAAAATACTCAATATTACTATGATACCATTACAGATTATTGCTGAGAGGGCAGCCACTCCAGACTTCTTAATGGGAGTCATAGCAGGAGCAGTTCTGCCCAGAAAATTTGCTGCTGGACTATTAGTTGGACTTATTGCTGGAGTGTATGTTCAACAAACCTATGTTCTACCAGATGTTGAGGAAACAACTAAAGAATTAGTAAAACAAGTTCACGAACGAGTTCCGAAGAAGTCGTAATTGAACCATAATGGAATTAAATATTTGTTTAAACCCATAACATTACAGTTCATTTTTACAAACAAAAATAAGTTCAAATATATCACGAAAACAGTGTAATGCAGCCATATAAATATGTCAATGAATTATAGATATTGACAATGATGTATGTGTTTATAAAACACGGAAATGTGGACTGATTTATTGAGTTACTTAAGAACATTTCTTCGAGTCTGCTCCACTAATACAAAACTTCTTATTGATGATGGTTGGAGCAAGTTCAAGTGGGTCCCATATACAGGGCATGTAAAAACATTGTTTGTAATTTGGGGTATATTATAGAATTAACTAAATAAAATTATAATTTTTCATGTGTTCTTAATCATTTCTCAGACATACCTTCATGAATTACTAGTATATGCAATTTGCTCTGGAATAAATTAGACTGCAAATCACAGATGTACAATCAAATTTATTTTTAAGTATTATAAAATTTAATCAAATTTCACATTGTACATCTCCAATAGCAGATACATGTAAATATTAGTTTCCAAGCTTCTTGTTTGAAAGGCTAAATTTTAAATTAAATTTTAATACGCCTACAGTACTTCTAAGAGTTCTTCCTAAGCTTTAGACCAAAGACTTGTTTTGAAAAGAGAACTACTTTTGCAAGCAAATTATAGTATCCATAGAAATTAGCTGAAACACAATACCAAATTTTGAGAGGAAAATTGACTGAAAGTGGGATTGTCAGTTTCCAGTTCAAGATTGCATGAAGATTATATTATTTTATGGCTCAAATTGAAACAAACTGGTGGTAATCACTCACTTCTGATGTTAACATTGGAGAATACATTGTGGGGGGGTTATATACTTTTTGAATGTATGTTTCAAAAGTTCAAAAAGTGAGACGACTGAGTGTTGAAAATGTAACAATTGCTGAAAATACATTCTGAATACAAAGCATGCTATTTTGATTTTGTTTGTGTTCTATTTATTTCATGCAAATGCCTCACATGCTGCATGGCATTTTTTGCACCAATTTACTGATTGTTTAGAATGACTGAATTTTGGCAAGCTTGTGTGTATTGAAATTTCTATTCAGTGCATCCAAAAAATTGAAATTTAAAAAAAAATCTAGTGAATTGGAGCAAAAATCATGGAGGAACATGGCATCAAGACGTGTGTGAAATGATATACCGGTATTTGTAATCGGTATTTCAGCAACAGTTCCAATTTCCCGGACAGAAAATATGCATGTGATAAATGTATAATCCCATGATATTTTCTCATAGGTTAATGTTAGTAGCATCAATTCTCATTCGTGGCTCAGTGCGATACAAAATCAAAAAGAAAAAATATTGTGGGGTTAATACAAGTTCTCCGTTACTTGTATAAAATGTATTGCTTCAGTGAATGTGGTATTGGCAGAAATTCAACATCAGTGGCAACTCTCATTTCTAAGGCATTGCGTATGCATACTCTAGTTTTTTGTTTTAGCGACCTTGGCATTGATGTCATCTCTTTTAATTTGTCCTTTATGCTTGAATGAATGGCTTGACGTGGCGTAGAGCCTTTGCTGTCGTAGAAGTTGACGGAATCAGAAGCCTCTAGGAGCAGATGTAGACTCTGAGGCAAAGTTTCCAACTTTCTCAAGTTGTTAATGATACTGAATGGGTCATTTTGATCATTGCAGAGATTGAAGTGTGCCCCATGGTTAAGGAGAATAAGTATCTTTTCTCTCAGATTAGCGTCATTGGTATCTGCCTTGTCAATGGGGGCCCGACCATACTTCCACAACAAGCCATGTATGGGTACTTCCATTTTCTCATTCACAGCATTTGGATCTGCTCCATGCTGAAGCAACAGACGAATCAAATCTGAGTCATTACTACAAATACAGGCACGGTGGAGTGGTTGATGACCGTCAAAGTTTTTCACTTGAACATTAGCTCCCTTTTCTAGCAGTTGCTGTACGATTTCTCTACAGCTTTGTTGAGCTGCAACATGCAGGGCAGTATTGCCTCTAGCATCACATTTATTGGGATCTGCGCCGTGCTCCAATAGTAGTTTTGTAAGTTCAGGTTCACTGTTCATTACAGCATATCGCAATGGTGTAATTTTACCACGAAGTCCTCTGGTCTCGGGGCTTTCATAATCAACCTTTGCCCCATAATCTAGCAGCATTTTAGCAAAGGGAAAATTCCCCCCCTGGCATGCCCAATGCAGTGGCGTTAGACTTTTAGTGTCAAGGACTTCTGTTTTGGCACCAAACTTTAGTAGCAGCTCTAAGCTTTCGGTGCTGTCTTTTTTAACACAGTTTATCTCATGAAAAACTCTATTGAACATAGAATATCTTTTATTCGGATTTGCTCCATGCTGCAACAGTATCTTGATGCATTGCACGTTACAGTCTCTTACTGCTAAATGCAAAGCTGGAAAACCATTGGCATTTTCAGTACCCACGACAGAGCCATGTTCTATCAATGTAGATACCATTTCCGGATTGTTTTTTGTAACAGCATAATGCAGTGCTATATTACCTGCACGGTCTTGTAGGTTTGCATCTATGCCATGTTTAAGTAAAATCTGGACATATATTAGGTTATTTCGCATAGCTGCAAAGTGTAGTGCAGTGCGTTCTTTGTCGTCACAACCATTGATATCTTCCACTACCTCCATCACTAAAGCCTCGAACATTTCTCCAGTTAAAGTTTTATCATGAAGGAGACGGACAGTAAATCATCACTTGTAAGATTCATCCTAGAAAGTTATATATCCAGAACACCAATCTGTGAATGAAAACAAATGAAAATTTGCAGCTAATTCCATGTGTAGTTTGAATTTCAATTAAATAAAAGGACTATGCGCTATATTCTTTGCTCATTTTGTTAATATTTATAGTCCCCATTCAGACAAGGTCTGAAAACGAAGACTTTTAGATTGACCTTTGTGTGTATGTGCTGCGCCTGTGTGTGTCCGTCCATTTATATCCAGCTGTATCTCACACATACTTAGACTAATTCAAACTTAAGACTGCCATTTTAGGGCCAAAAATATATCACAATCACACATTTTCACCATTCCAGAACCAGATCTCAGTCAAGCAAGAATGGATTTTGTTCTAAATTTGTACAAACATTGAGCATATTAGGACCTTGAAGAATGTCATTTTATTGTTCGAATTAGGTTCAAATTAGCCAACTGGTGGCCTTTTTGTTTTAAAAAGTGCAGTTCCAGATCTGCATTTCAAGTTCAAATTTCACACATGCACTCTACATCGCATCAGATAATCGCAAATACATTTTTGTCATCATCGGATCCAAAATTGCTGACTGGTGGCCATCTTGTTTAAACAAATGCAGTTTCATAGAGCCATATCTCACCAATCAAGTTCAACATGTATATAATGTATCAAGTCATACATATGTCTCCCGCTATAAAACAAACATTGACAATGACTTAATTCATGTTTCACTGAGTCCATATGGTATTAAATAAATATACCAGCGATAAGATTATAGGATATTTGCAATATGTAAACAGCACCTTGACACTTGAAATTCTTGTACAATTTGTGTTGGAAAAACTTTCATTTTCATGCATTAATTTGCATGCAGTTATAATGAATATACAGCCTGTGACACAAGATACACTGAGTTTCACTTAGGCATGAATATATTTCATGAAAATTCATAAATATTTACCCAGGATACCAGCATTACATTAATACTATGATACAGAGAAGATCTTTGGTTTCAACCATGACCCACACATAATGGTGATTTATTCAGAAGCCATTTTCAAACAGTTTATAAATGTTTTACATAAAAAAAAAGATATTCATGTCTATGTGAAATACATAGTAGATATAATGGTCATTTTGCCTCAGTGTCAGACTGATTTGAAACTATGAAAATATTGGTGAAAATATGCTGTTCCTTTAACATGAAACAAGTAGTTACCTGATATGTAAGCTTATTATTAAATGCTGCCTTCAACTGAACACATAGAGGAAGACTGTTATTCCAAGTTATTATAAATAGAAATACCTAGTAAACAAACATAAGATTGAAACTATCTGAATACTGACAACATATGTTACTTTACAGTATGGATGTATACCATATGGATAACATGCGTGCATGTGTGTGTGAATGGTATTTTGGTATATTCAAATGGTGGCCATAAATAAATTGTAAATGGTACATTGTAATTCCAGATCAGTCAATCAATCAACTGAAAATTAAGATTTTTTTGTAGTAACATAAAAATAAATATATATATTAAAAAAAAATTGAAAAATGGAACTGGGCATTTAGATTTGTTTGTACTTACTTAAATCTGGTATTCAATATATTTGTCAATGAGTGAATCATAAATAAATACCTAGTTTAAGAATCTTTAGACACTCAGTGTTTTAACTATATTCACATATGGTATACTTACTATAGCGAGAATTAAATCCTACATGCAAACCAAGTCCTTACAGTGAGAATCAGATAAGTGCCAATGTCAGAAACTGTTAATGACTAACAGAGTCAGACGATATTGTGAATGATTTACATATGACCTAGAAAGAAATTTCAGCAAATTGGTTTAATTTTGAGAGAAACAAATTTTAGTTACTACTTACACACATTGAAAATTTGTCTTGACAAATGCCATAACAATTTCTAGTAGTGAAAATGTTCACCGTGTACTGTAAAAACATTAATTACTCACTGGATTTTAATTTTTCTATTAAAAATCGCTAAATAAAAACCATGTGAACAAGTAGAATAGAACTTATTGTTTTCCTGTCAGGTTCATGAACTTAAAACCTAATGAAATTGCTCAAATTAATGAAATTAAGTGACAGAGAAGTTAAATGGTTTAATAGTAACCTGTATCATGAATGCCTATAATGGTTGTCACTTTGAGGCTTGTTCAATTGTGATTGTCGTGTTTGGAGAACTTTTAAACTTTTAAAGAACTGACATATATACCATAAAATTTGTATTTGAAGCTGAATTCCTGATAGAAGTTGCACCCATTTTTTTGAACAATTGAGAACCACAAATTCACCGTTTGTCATATGTGTAGATGCTCTAAAATAAGTCGCATCCCCTCTGTTAGAATTTACCATTTTAATAAAAGTCGTGGCTTCTAATACAGATGTTACAGTAATTATTAAGATATTGAACTTTACAATTATCCAAATGTTAACAGGAGTAATCAAAACATCTCAGCCTAAATTGTATATGTACCAGGGTATCAATATCAATTCAAATATTACCAGTATCACAATACAAGCACATGATATAAAATATTCAGACCTCTGTACATCTTATCAATAAGTTAATGTTCATTTTAGCGTCCACTAAAAGTAATGTCAATTTTGTAATACATCTAGATATGAACATGTAAATTGTAGGACACTAGATAGCATTTAACCTTAAAAACGTGCATGTCAATTTGTTTTCAGGTTTTTTGTTGATGATTTTTGAAGAAACTATGAAAAATCTAATTCACAATATTGCTTCTCATGAATATTTGAAATAAAAAAACAAGCCATGCATGGCACAGTCCCCGTTAGTTATCAAATTTAAGATATATAGTTTTGTTTATAGTAATATACCGGTAGTTGGAACATAAACATGTCAGATATATCCAGAAGCTGATCCTTGATTATGATTTTTTCACATTAAAATGATTGACATTGGCATCTTGTATTTGATCATCATACGAGTACTTGTTCATATTGAGAGATATTGCTCTAGAACAGCAATAATTAAAACAAAATGGCCAGCGGTCGGCTATTTTGAATGGGATAAGCAAACCAATACATCTGTATATTTATGAAATGATGTATGATGAATATATAAAAGTTGCTTGATTTAAATGATTTTGAGCACAAAATGGCCGCCATTTGGCCATCTTAAATCAGATTGTGAAACAAATTTATGTGCACATGTATAATATTAGGTATGATGTATGTGTGAATGTAATCGGTCCAGGCATGTCTAAGATACAAGTCTGGAAACAAGCACAGACAGATACACACACAAGCGTACAGATAGATGCAGAAGTCAATTCATAAGTCCACATTTTCAGACTGCATCCGAACAGGGACTATTATCAATTTTAAAATAAAAATAACTGCCTCTGCTTTGATTTTAAAAAATTACAAGAAACCTTTTCTATCCTGAGCTTAATTGACATGAACCCCAAATCAATTTTGTCTGTAGAGGGCGCTATAATACAAAAATATCAAAAAATCTAATCATTTTTGTTTTAATTGAATGCACAAATGGTTTTGTATGTTTAAGAAGTGGAAATATTCATATATGCTAATATTACACAAACATAGGACACGACAGAGTTACACGGATAAATTACACATATTACAGGTAATGACCAAAAAAACATTAAGGTAGATCAATACCTTGCCCTTATTCATGTGTTGTGTTTAGGGCAACTGAACTATTGAAGTTGAGATATGAAACTTGAGAAATAAGCGAAGAAAACTTGATGACAAAGCTACATTAAAAAATCAACATCCAGGCTTGCTATGCATTGCATACTGATAGAGGGCAGGATTTTATGTTGGTGCAGTCTAGGTGTTAGCAGCATATGCGATTATGTAAATTCTTATAATTTTCTCAAAAACTAGACAAACAAATGCTTTTTGGCATGAATCCATTTCCACTACATAGAACAACATTGTTGGACTATTATATTAAAGATTATTGTTATTTCAAAGGGCAATTAACACATGGAAACCAAAAAAACAAACACATTAGAGTTTCATTTGCCATTTTCTTCAGCAATTCTTATTCTTCACTAATAGAGAAAAGACAAGTGTTCTTTGGTCATGCATTTTGTTATATATTAAAACGAAACAGAAATTGGCAGATTTTGAAGCTTGATTTGAGGGGGGCCATTTTGTTGATTAGCAGTGAACTAGGGATACAGCATATTCATTAATTTGCATTAAAAACACAAGCTTAATATTTGCTTATCATTGATGTATGTGCATTGTAAATGACAAAGGTGTGTCTATTGTCAAATATGAATACAATAAATAACATTTTTTGTTTATATGTGTTTCTATTAGAGATGCGCTTCTAATAGAGCAAATAGTGTATCTACATTGAAATTTCAATCCACACTGAGAAAGTATTCAGTAATAGCAAAGAAAGAAACAGAAAACACCGACATACAACAATAACTTTTATTACTATTATAATAACTATACCTACAAGATAGAGAACTGATAACGAACTGAGTAAGTTTTCTGCCTTTTCTAGTATGGCTAATACACAAGATGGGTGCTACAAATGTAAAACCTCAAGTGACAAAAATGCAGTCAGTAAAAGTTAAAGACAAATTTAAAAAAAAATAAAAATATGACAAAATACTGGCCATTTCTAACAACTATCACAGCAGTAATTTGCAGTGAGAGAGATAAATAACTATTATTTAAAATGATTAGGTTACTAAACCACATTTGCGTCATTGTGCATATAGACAACTTTATTAATTTCATTTCTAATAGGTAAATACATGCATGGCCACTTTACACAAACCAGTGAGACCATTTTAATGTATTATAAGTCTTTTTTGTTACAAAGAATTCTGAGTGAATTCTGACATGAAATGATGTTGATGCAACAACTAATGTATTATCAGAGGTACATTACTTGGGGTTTGCAATGCACATCGTACTGTATGGTGACATGTCAAGATCCCATTCAAGTCTCATCTCGTAGATAGCGAGACTGATGCTACGACCTTCTGACATGAAATAGGCGGTTTGTAATAAAACAATAAAACATGTATTACCACATTCATAATGAAAAAATGTAATACATCGAAAATGTACAGAAAATATAGTTATCGTAATCCGTTATATCGTGAGCAGCTATTTTGATCCACCTGGACATCTCAGTATCCAAGTTACCTCGGGCATGCGCATTCGCATTTTTCTGAGTTGGAACACTTATGCGAGAGCGAGATTGAAACGGGATCTTGGTATCATGTCACCGTAGTTGCAAACCCCAAGTAATGTACCTCTGGTATTATATGTATCATATCATTCAATGTTTAGTGTGAAATATTACGTATACTATCTGATATGATACATTAAATGTCAAATTATACATTATTATCTATGCACTTTCTTAAAGGAAGTGTACTTGAAGAAAACTAACTCGTGCATTTATTGCAGTGATTTAAAAATTTCAGATGGATAACTTGCAAGACTTAATAATGCCAATTGAAAGTGAATTTTGCAAAAATATATACAAGACAAATTTTTCTGCTGGTTATCAAATATATGTGGCAGCAAATACGTGTTTACTAACACATGTCATGCCAAATTAGCATAAATATTATTTTACTGCTTTCAGAAGTATCAACCTAATTAATTAACTTCTCTGTAGTGCACAATTATTTGAATGTCAAACACTGCACTACAAACTTCTACTTGGAATCAGTCCTTTTAATAATTGAGATGACCTGGTTTACACAGTACAGGAAAGTCACCTTTCCCACAAATGAACGTTAAAAAAACGTTGCTATACGAACAATTAGTGATGCTTTGTGCTGTTTTCTGTTTTATATAAATTTTGCAGTGTGAATTGCATTTGCATTGCCAAATTATATAAAATGATGGCCAACACTTTTGCGCATATATTAACCTTTTCACCACCAGTTGCCGCTTTTCATCACAAAATAGTCCTGTTTATAGTCTGCACTTTCCTTCAGAAGATTAGGACAAAAATAGCCAAACTTTTGAGTAAAAACTAAAAATTGACTCAAATTTTGTCTATTGGTTCCAAAATTAGGGTTCATTTCCAAAAATATTGAAGAATATAGAAAAAAAGTGCAGATAAATTTGGGCAAGAAAGTCTGGTGGTGAAAAGATTAAGTATTGAAAGTACATATTCTGACTGAATATTTACCGGTACTAGCAGCTGATAAGAACAACAAGTTGCTTGTCAGAATTTCAGATGAGAGTCTCATGCAATTGGTCAGAATGGTGTTCGAATGACGCGAATGAAGACCCGTGGAAAGGTAAAGTATGTACACCCTATAAATACTGAACAAATTTGACTAGTGGCTGAGGTAATGGCAGCTTGTGTATTTTATACTGACAGCGTTCACCTAAACTATTCCTGATGCATAGTCTTGTCATGTGTTTTAATGATTTAGGATTGCTTTTAACAAACCGCAGTTGTGTTAATATCTCCGAGGGCATATCAGGTGAAACATTACCAATATCATCTTCTACTGAAATCTCTTGAGCAAACTCAGCTAGTGATAACATGCTCTCGGTTAGTACCACTAATTTATTCAGCTTTGCATGAAGTAAAGTGAACGGGTCAACTCGATCGTTGGTAAATCTTACTTTTGCTCCAAAATTAAATAAATATCCTATTTTCATTTTGAGTTCTCTGTCAATTTCTTCCACATCATACTTAGTGATACGTCCGTATTTCCATAATAATAGAAGTAATGGCGTTTCTTTGTTGCTTGTTACTGAATTTGGATCAGCTCCATGCTGTAATAACAAGTCAATCATCAACGGATCATGAGAGTACCTACACGCCTGATGTAACGGTTCATTCATCATTTCATTTTTCGCCGAGACATTAGATCCATATTTTAACAACAATTTTGCCATTTCAATATTTCCTTGTGTGGCTGCATGGTGGAGTGGTGTGTTGGATCGTCCATCAGGTTCATTTGGGTCAGCCCCACTCAATAGCAACAGTTCAGTTATCTCTTTTTCATCCTCTAACACAGCATATCTCAACGGTGTTGAATTCTCTTTTGAAGGATTGGCTGATTTAGCATCAATGTCTGCATTATATTTTAATAATCTTTGTACAAATCCAACGTTGCCATCTTGACAGGCAATGTGTAAGGCTGTTAATCCTCTGGAGTCATGGGCATCGGGATCAGCTCCAAATTGCAATAACAGTTCTAAGCATTCAGCGTTTGACAGATTAACCATGTGTACCTCATAGCCAAAGTGTTTATAATACATATTAGGATTGGCACCTTTCCGTAATAAATATGCTGCACACTCATGGTTACCAGCTTGTAGAGCTAAACGCAGTGGTGGGAATCCAACTGCATCTCTGCTATGAACATCAGCACCTTTCAGTATCAGTTCTTGTAGTATCTCAATCCTTTTATACTTAGCTGCCAAATGTAGGGGTGAGTATCCACAGTGATCCTGTACATTGACGTCAGCATTGTGGCAGAGCAGCAGCTTGACGCAGTCCAAGTTACCTTCATATACGGCATGATGTAGTGGGGCAAGACCCATTTTCCCAGGACAGTTAACATCAGCACCTTCACAAATCTTTAATTCCAATTCACTAGCAGACACCCCACTATTTATAAGATTTATAAGTTCAGTATTGCCCACTTCTGCCATAATTGTAATCAAATTATAACATCGATCTTAACATACTATTGTGAAGATTCCTGCAAAATGAAAAAAAAATATTAATATTTGTGATCATCATGTTCTTTATATTCCAATAGAAATGATAAAAGAGGAGCAAGTTTACAAAATACTGGCAGATATCTTAGGTAAGGGAAACATACATGTATATACACACCTTTTTTATAAATTGAGGACCAAGTAGTAGAGAATATAGTAGAAAATGTACAAGGAACTGGTTAACCTTCTATGGCACGTCCAACACCAACTTAGAGACAGACAAAATGCACATCTCTATTACTCCACCATGGCAACCCTGGATGCACCAGCGCCATTGTAGAAGATCATTGCTAGCCGTGAAATTTACATAAAAAAAGTGGTTTCTGATCAATTGGAATATTAAGTAATTTCCAGTGATGTTTGGGGAAAAAGTTATCTTTGCCAGCCAAGGTTTGTTTATTAGGCAATCGCCACATCACTACATCTTGGCAGATTTTATTTAGCTAACATATTTTTGGCAACACATTGTCCAATCAGATTGTTCATTATAGCTGTATCACTATCTTTGGCAACACATTGTCCAATCAGATTGTTCATTATAGCTGTATCACTATCTTTGCAACACATTGTCCAATCAGATTGTTCATTATAGCTGTATCACTATCTTTGGCAACACATTGTCCAATCAGATTGTTCATTATAGCTGTATCACTATCTTTGGCAACACATTGTCCAATCAGATTGTTCATTATAGCTGTATCACTATTTTTGGCAACACATTGTCCAATCAGATTGTTCATTATAGCTGTATCACTATTTTTGGCAACACATTGTCCAATCAGATTGTTCATTATAGCTGTATCACTATCTTTGGCAACACATTGTCCAATCAGATTGTTCATTATAGCTGTATCACTATTTTTGGCAACACATTGTCCAATCAGATTGTTCATTATAGCTGTATCACTATTTTTGGCAACACATTGTCCAATCAGATTGTTCATTATAGCTGTATCACTATTTTTGGCAACACATTGTCCAATCAGATTGTTCATTATAGCTGTATCACTATCTTTGGCAACACATTGTCCAATCAGATTGTTCATTATAGCTGTATCACTGATAAAATAGACGTATCTACATAAGAAAATTGTTTTCCCATCCAGAGATTGGGCTGACATTTAACAATTGGTTACTTGAGGGCTGAAAATGCAACTAATTAGCTCAATTCAATCTATTAATTTGTTTCCTTTTTTTCACTACACTAAAGAAACAGCTGTGAAACACAGCCAGCATGAAATGTTATGCTGGGCAACTTGAATACCAACGCAAACTAGTCATGTGCAGTCACTGTTCAGGTCTGTGTTTTCTAAGTTTGTATTCTATCTAGGAACTTTATATTAGAAGCAATGAAAATATGACGTTTGTGATCAATCTGTCATCACGTCCACCACTCACTGAAATAAAATGTTTCACCTTTCAATACAACTACTCCTTCAAAGCAGGTTATAACAGAATTTCAGAATGAAATTCCCTAAAACATGTGAACAGACAAACACATACTAGTTATATTTGAAACTAAGAGAGATATTTAATGCCAATGAGCAGCAATCTGAGCAAACAAAGCTAAACAAGCAAACAAAGATATTAGTGAGAAGAGAATCTATTACTGGTAATTGTTACAGCCATACCGACTTTAGCACTGATTGAACTCAACATGTTAAAGTACGGTAGTTGAAGGCTAGGACTATATTTTATTTTGAAATTATCTGAAACTTTGCCAAGTTTTTTTTTAATAATGTAAATTACTGTGAATTTACTTTTACAATTTGGCTGAAGGAATGAATCAGTGAGAATATTGTTTTCCTGCATTTTACATTCAACTCATCAACAGTCAGTGGGAATAAATTCCATACAAAACAATCTAAATGTTATTTCAGCAAAAAATAATAAAATATTTTACAGTATGCTAATTTAGAATTAATTTAGATTTATCAGTAATAATGAGATGTCATTTTTCTCCATTCATTTTGACATCCATGGTGTCTTTAGAATGCGGGGGTGTTAAATACAACTAACTTTTGTATTAAACATCAACATGAAAGTGTGTAAACTAAAGAATTTTAAAATTAGTGCTAATAAAATTGGAGGTAAACTTGTTTAATATTACATATAAACTGCATAAAACATATCAACACCCAACAACCCCCCCCCCCTCCCCCCTTCCACCGAGCCTGGGAGTTATCATTATTTAGCTTGGCTATTAGGGAATTCTTATCAGAAATATTGTCCATCAGATCAGAAACTATACAGTTTTAAACAGCCGTGCATAACTTTCGTTTTTTTGTTCTGGGTTAGCCATTTTTCTTTCCATTTCTACTGTACAAGTAATCCCCTACCCCCATACAAATTTAGGTTCTCAAACTATGTGCAACCCATAATTTTTTAAAGTACCCCAGTTGTAAAACAAAAAACTATATCTAATATATTTCATTAAAACTGAGTTGAGATTCTTGAGAGACTAATTATTGCCACTGCTATACAGTAAATGGCAGAAAACTGTATCTTAGTTTCATTTATAAATACCTATTATTAACATTCATTCAAATATTTAATAATAATTGGCTTGAGAGCTCAACATTGTCTCCACCGTTAATGCATGCACAAGCCCTCAAGTGACAACAACGATGACCACCCACTTACAAATGAACCACTTACTTATTGGATAATGTTGAACTACCGAGGGAGGGGTCAACTCATTAACAAAACTCATGATGATGTCACCTCATCATTTCAGAATTGGTCAATTTTAATTTTACAAGTCCTTTAGATTTATACAAATTTATATTTATAAAACTCCCAGCTTTTTGCCAGCTAAGTATGTACATATGTTTGCATACTACAGTGTAGTAAAGTTCAGACAAGAGGGGAAATTCCAGAACTATATTTATAACAACACATTTAATAAAGAAAAGCAAACGCAACATCATCCTTGAACAAATATAGCTGAAAACTACATTGTATGTAAGCTAAACGAATAAAAACTAACGTGCAGTTTTTCTACAACAACCCTGCCAGTTTCCAAAGATTAAACACACAATGGGACTGTAAGCGCAACGAAGTGGGCGTGTCGATCACATGCCGTTTATAATGTCAGATGCAGAACGACAAACGGTGTGCACGGAGCTATGCTTTGTGACCTACCACCGGAGTGTTTAGCATGCCACCGGATATGAAGCCAACTACACACTCCACCGGACAACTTAACTCGATATGAAGCTAAAAAGACAGCGTCGGTAATAGTCCCCGTATAAGTGTTTATAATTTAAATATTAGTCATTTTAATTTGTGGTACGTCCAGAGAGCAATATGTCTAATCATGGTTTCCATGAGCATAATTTCGCGATTATTATTTCTGTTTTGTAAACTGTAAGTATTAAGATATTGCAAGCCACTGTCCCCGTCGGTGTTGAGAGATGGCCGGTCTTCACCGTGACACGCATGACTGAATGGCAAAACGCATTTCACCCATAATACTATATAATACACGATACGATATCAGCGAGATACTAACCAGACAATTTGTCAGCAAACTGCATTTAGATGACAATTTTCCCGTGGAACGTAAAATATGCCAGACGCTATTATTTTAACCACAATGCCTAGCGAAAGGTCAAACTTTTATTGAACACCCCAAGTATGTGGTTAAAAGCACAACTTACTGGAACGCGTTGAGGGGGTCCCTATATTGGGTAAATTTTTTACACACTATCAACATCAATGAAGGGAGCAAGGGGGCATAGCTGGTACAGGTTACAGAGAATAAAAAAGGCATTTTACGTTTTTACAGGTAATGAAATGAAAGTTTCATTCACAGTAAAAAATAGGTTTTTACACTTTACAAATACATTTTACATTTTTATAATATATTTGATAATTTGTGTTTAAGAATCAAAATTGGAAATTGCGTACGAATTGCGACATTTATTGTGGAAACTACTATATACGCTTGCAAAAAATAAGATCTTTGTACAAATTACGCAATTACCCATGTCTACAAATTTACGTTTTTTTATTTATTTAAATTAATATACAACGTTCATTTCTATCACACATATTGCATATTACACCTATTGCATGTGATTATAGACAATATGACCACATCAAACATGACACAAACAATGTTACCACTTATGTCAATCATGCCTACTATTAATCCAGCTATCAATATAATGTGAAATTCACCTGTTGAATACTCACCCTGCTGCAACACTAGAGGGCGCCAAGACAGTCACATTTTGCAGACTGGGCGCAGAAAAAAAAACACATGTCAAAATATAAAACTACTCCACTAGAAATTGCTATATGAGACATATATCATTATTCATTTAAAATTTTGTCTGTATAACATCTAAAAACTCATGTGCAAATGAATACAAATTCAAATCATTGATGTATTTAACACTTTTACAGAATATGCTCGATAATTATAAGAACAAATCCGCTGAACATTCAGGTTGAGCTTAATCTGAATTCGGAAAAATTGTGGTCTATTGCAAGTATCTTGTCTAAGTTGTGCAGTATGTGTTCTGACTATTACATGTCAACAAATTGACCAATGCAGTTTAATATTTCTGTTTATGAAGTTATTTGTGCGAGTAAGTCACCATGCTCTGTTTAGCCCTGTTCTATGTTGAATAGTAATGCCATGAAATTTCATCTACAACAGAATAGTTACAAAATCCATCTGTTTGAAAAGTTGCAAATCGGAAATTTACCTAAAGATACAATTGTGAAGTTCAAAAGTGGAAAAGTTTACTGAAACGTCGCGAAACTGTGGAGAATCACTTTAAGTGTGAAAGTAGCCTAAAAAAGTAGTATTCAAATTATGAGAGTCACTTTGGATGGTAGAAAACGAGAATATTTTTGAAAATTTAGAGAAGTTGTATTAAAAGTAGTACCGGTAGTCTTCAAATTACGAGTCGCTTTTG